CCTCAGTGTACAGCTTCACGTCGAAGTCGCTGTCCCAGGGCATAATGCCGGCCTCAGATCGAGATCGAAGCGATCGGGTCCCGACCCCTGGGCAGCCTGGGCCCGATCGAATGGGTCTTCAGGCAACCACCAACCACTTATGAGGTGGTTCCTTGTTAAGAATCGCATGGTACCAAAGCTGCACCAATCTATGCTTGGGACTGTCCCTTACCCTTCACAGCCCGGGTTCTAGTTGTGACTCCGTGGTCAGAACACGTCTCTCGACTTCTCGCGTTCGAACCGGATCTTTCCCGCCAGTTCACAGCCCAGAAAAATCACAGGACGCCCTGTATTCCAAGAGCGCAACATTGGTTTCAACGGCCAGGCCATGCACCCAGACGGGAAAGTCAATTGATGTTCTGTTGCTGGACCCCTGTCGGCGTTGCGGGCCTTCCCCCAAACCTCCCGAAGAAACCGATCCGAACCGCCGGTGATTTCCTGGATGCCACTTCCCAGGGCTTCGTGGCACACCAAGCTTTGTATTGATCGAAAAACCAAAGCCAAGGCTGGTTTGGTTTTCTTGAGCCCATCCACTCGGAAAACCAAAAAACAGCCTGTTGTTTGTTTTGTTTTCGCAAATTTGGTTTGAACAAGATCACGGAACATCCTGGGCCTAGGGCAAAACCCAAGGACCACAACTTGCTTTTTCTCATGTGGCCCAACTGGCCCAACCCCGCGATTCCAACTCTTTGCCGGCGTTTCAAAGGTGCCAGGCCACTTTCATGTGAACGGTCCAAAAAACGCAGGCTTTCCCAACCCAGACGCTCTCGATTGATTTTGGGCCCTCAACCAGCACCCCAAAACCCCTCTGGGGTGTCCAATGGAGGGTCTGGGTTGCATTGGAATCCCCAGGAGCGTCTGGAAGCATGCAAACAAAACAGGGCTTGTCCCGCTAGTTTCTTTGTTCAGCGAGTCCATGTTTGTCCCAACAGCTGGAGGCTTAGAGTGGCCATCCACATGACTTGACCCGACCAAACTGACACCAAACCACACCAACCCAAGGTCAGATGTCTGGGAAATGGGTATGTTTTTTGGAGGCTGCCCTTTTTTGGTGTTGGAAACCAAAAGAACATTTTGAGGGGGCTGGGCTACTAACCCACATGTCAATCCGACTGATCACCCCTTCCTTCACTTCCCGGGATCCCTGCAAGCCAAAAAACAACTCACGGCTCAACATCTGGTGGACGTTTGGCGACACCGACGAAACGCTCGATACAGTAACCCTCGATGCATGTATATATAGATATACATATAATATGTATTTGTATACATAAATATACAACATCAGGGTTACGCTTACATTGATACTAGTTTGCTCCCATCATGACAAATCTTGGTCTTACAGTACCAAGCAAACTCATTCGTTTTTTTGTCCGGCCTTGGCGGCCTTCCCAAGCCACGGTGGAACCCAAACAAACGTTGCCACCCCGAAATGACCATCGCATTGCAAGGGCCTTCAAGACATCCTCAAAACCAGTCCGTCCAATTGCACATGGGGGAACCAACAAATGTTTGTTGTTCTCTTGGAACTTGCGATTGGTGCGATAGGCAGGGAATGTGGTTGAATGAACCCAGGCTTTGGTCCCCTTAAGGGAAACCACCAGTTGGATGGTTTATAGGGGTATTTGCGAAATTCGGGTACACTCCACGTGCTAAGATGCCTACATCATGGTGTGGCGTATCATATTTCCACGTGAATCACCATGCTTGTACTTCAGCCCTTTATTTGTTTCCATATGGTCCAGCAAGTAACTCAAGCTCCAGAAACCAGTCATTTTTACCTCCCCGCCCCAAATAAACAACAACTCCGGCGAGGGGCATCCCCGTTGCGGAAGAGCGCCAGAAAGGTTCCCTCCTGACACACTCAACCTAAACCCGTGGCAACACACGGCGCATTTGTTCTGACCAAACAAGTCGTAGGAGGGATGCCATCAGCGAAATCCGTGGATATCCGGGCAAACAGGGCGATCAGGGCGCATTTCTTCTGAGCAAATCTTCTTTAGACACATTTTTGAAACACCAACTGGGCACTACTGAACGAAGGGACCCGGTACGTGGGGCGTCTGGGAAACCACCCAGGCCTTAGGGTTACTCTAACATGGAACACCAAAAAGGATCCAAGAGGAGTTTCCTCGAAGTCTGCTTTTTGCGGGCTCCATGGGAGGGTAATCCACTAGGTGAATACTGTTAGAGTAAACTCCCTAATCTGTTAAACCTTAGGACCTTCTCCTGCCCCCAAAGCCCCACAGCGGAGGTCCATGCTGAAAAGCGACAACGTTACACAGCCGCGGTTAATCTTTTACGCAGATACTGGTCTTCACAAAGATCTGGGTGAAGATAAACAAAAAGCTCAGGGAACTAAACTGGGTGGATGGTCGCATTTGCCAACCCGAAATAAGAAATGGGTGTGCCCTTTTTCTTGAGGGTACCCTTTTTGGTTGGGTTCAAGGGACAACCAACACCAAACGCACACCGTGGCCATTTTTGGGGCGGGTGCCCTAAGGGAATCCCAACACGCGGTGCAAGGTTCCCTAAGGCTCCCCAAGGACCCGAAAAACGGGCCCTTCTTTGGGGTTGGTTTCGAAGGGAAGCCAAAGGAAATAACGAGGGCCATGTTTGGGGAGGGGTCTCCAAAAGACTCACACGCCCAAATCGACTCTGCAAGGAACTTTCCTCGGGACTTTTGGTAGAAAAAGGGTGGAGGCTGATAATTACCGGCCTTGCTATCCTAATTGAAGCTGCACTTCAATGAACGGGGTTTTGGGCGCTGACGTCGCTAAGTGAGATCATGCTTGGCTGGTTCCTTCGTAGGCCAACTCTTGGGTCCCTCGAAAGTGGCTCAGCAAGTTTTTCCGAGGGCGTGTCTTTCTTTGGTAACCCTTGTTTGATGGCTTTAAAGGGGAGCCAAAAGGTAATTAGTATGACTTCCATGCTGGGGGTCCAACCAAAAAAAAAAACACCCAATGTCCCCAAAAGGGGTCTGGAGAGTGAAACATGGAAAACGTGGATGTAGCCCGGATATCAGGGTTCCTTATGTTGTGCCCCTGAACATCACCCCACCAAAAAGAAACTCACTATTTTTTCAACCAGCAGGTGATGTGTTTGCGTGTCAAGACAAGGGACCCTGCAATTTTAATCGGCTAGATTTCCTTTTTGCTACCCGTTCCACCACCCCAAACATGTCCTCAACAAAAACCCAAGGGAGCTGTCCTCTGAACATAAATCAGTGGTTGCTTATTCGTGATCTATGGTCACCTTTCCCTTCATCTTCATGCTTTTCACAAACCCCCAGGGGGAGGGGGGCTATCCCTTATTAATCCCTTGATAAGGCCTCATTAAGGGCTTATCCTTGGGTTATCCGGGCTTATCCAGGGATACCCCCCCACCCCATAGCCCCCCCCGAAGATTCCATGATGCTTTGGGTTTCATCCGTTTCAACCGCAATTTCACCTCCAATCAAGAAAGAAGAGATGGACTGAAGAGAGACAACTGTCCACCCTTCATCTCACATCATTTCTATTGTCTTTCTAGGGTTAGGAAGGGAGGTGGATGAATGGAGGGATGTGCTTCGTCAAGCCTGGCCGTGGAAACGATCCCATAAAGTAAGAGACAAACAAATGAAGGATCAAGAGATGAAAGAAGATAACACTACATGTGATATACAGTAAGAGGCAATAGTCGTATGATAAATGCAGCCAACACAAAGGAGCAATATGATACATACGAATCATATAAAGTAACAACTGCCAATCAGTAATTAAACAAATAAGACAACGAGATAATAGCAGCCAGGCTTGGGATGTTTCCCTCTACCTTCAACCGCCAGTCAAACCAGGTCCACATTCCCCATGTTTTCTTTCCTGCTCTTGAGGTGACGCCAGTCAAAATTATGGCTGTGGGTCAAAAATGGGTACCCAAAATGGCTTGCCCTGGTAAGTGGAAACAAAGACTAACACCATGTAACCCTGGCTCTTTAAATTTGAGCCACACCCGTATCAAGAGGTAGGATTCCTACCGTAGGAAAGGCATAGCGATGAAGAAAGGAACGACATGGCAGTTCGCCTCATGCCTTTCTCATGTCTTCATCAAGGGTTTTATAGCTGAATCTGGGTACGTGGGAAAATAGGGGCACCCACTAAAACTGTGTTCTCTCGAAATGGGTGCTTCTCAAAGTTGAGGACCCCCCTGCAGGTGGTTTCCATTTGGCTTCCTTCACACAGAAAGCATCCAGAAAGGGGTCCCCTATTTTGAGAGCCACCCAAATGAGTCATAACCAAAACCTGGTACGCGAATGGTCTACCCAGAACCATGCTTCCAGAATTTAGAAGGGGGCGAAGGCACCCATTTATGGCAAGGGGACTCTCCCGTACCAACCTTCATCATACCTTAGCCGGGCTGTGATCGTGGCTCAAATGGCCATGGGTCAGAATCCAAATCGTACCCCCCAGTGAACATCCCAATCCCCACTAAAATAGGGTGCACCTACCCAAAAATGGTACCATTGGCCTTGACCCACAGCCAAATGGTGAGAAGGATTCCAACTCCAAGAAGCACATCCCCAGATTCGCTGGGGAGGATGGATCCGGACTCAATCCCAAAGGAGCTCCTCGGGGACCAGGAAGTTCCGAGGGTCCAAGGAGGTCCACCACCCATAGACCCGCCGAAAGGCCTGGCTCGAGTTCATATGGAGTGAGTGACAAGGACCCTGGGGGATATGGCGGAGGTTCTCCATCCCAAAAATTAATGGCTGGGGGATATGGGTGGCTGTCACAAACAGGGTAACCCCAACATGGCTTGCAACCTGGTCAATGAAAAAAATAAAAAAAATAAACCTGCAGTCCGATTCCTGGTGGCTTGATATTGACCCACACTCATACGAAGGTTTGAAGGGGGGTTTTGGCGACTCCCATGTGTGAAAAGGTTTGAAAGGGGTGTATTGAGGGGTGAGAAAGAGCAATACATTGTGAAAGGGGCCCTGGGGTTCTGTTGCCACCATTAAAACGATGGTTGGGGTAATGTTTCACCACCATCTACCCTTCAGGATTGTCATCCAAATTGGGTCCCCTTTTTCCTTGCCATTCTTTTCATGGGATGGCGCTCCCTAAAAGCTTCCCATCTTACCCCCAGGCACCGCTGAATTTCCCCACCTGACCCCCAGGACAAGCATATGCTCTCTCATAGATTTGATCACATCCACCCCCACCCAAAAAAAAGAGCCTCATTTGTGCCGGCCATTTGCAGACGACCTCTAGAATGTCCTCAACAGAGCACTGTTTGAACTGTCTACAAGCAAGAGTTCATAACCCTGCCCCCCCCCCAACAGATGCGCTCTAGAAGCATCCATAATTGTCCAACAACTTGAGCACTCCCCATCGTTTTATGAACCGAGAAATGGCACCTTTCGATTCGAACGGACCCACTAGGTATAATTCGGATAAGCGCTAACTACCAAAATGGACTTCTGTTGGTTGATTATGTTGCATGTCCGCAGGGTTCTTTCAAGTTTCTACTTCATGCTCACCATCGGCCGAGCGGAAGCTCGAAAACAACAAGACGTATTGTTGATGGCAATGCCAGCTATGCGATCTTTAACCATCGCGCATAGGCGCGCAACTCCTTCGTTGCATTCTTGAGGTAAACTCACGGCCTGCGTGACGTCCCGGCGGAAGCAGTAGGGCGCCACCAAGCCTTTCTGAGCCACCTGGCAGGGACTGTTGCGCCAAACCCTGGCTAATCTTCACGCCTCTTCTTTGAATTCTTGCAACGTTTCGAGATTGCTCTTGCTTCTAGGGGTACCTTCCATTTCCATTCTTTCCAGGGATCCTTCTTTCTAGAAAACCTCCGGAAACCCAGGGAAGCTTCGAGTTCATTCTTGTTTGTGACCCTCGTCTTTCGGTTGTCCTTTTAGTTTGTCGTCGGAAGGTGTCCGATCAAATGAGTCCCACTGATAGGGCGCAATGACCGCCCTCCGGAGTCGAACCCACATCACATGTTGTTGGTAGGTACCGGGGGGATGAAGAGCCTCGACCTAAATGAGCCCATGCCAACGTTTTTTTGCCCTCAGCCAACGTTGCACATGCCAACCTCCCAGCAAGATCTGTTGGGCTGCCAAACACCACAGGGCTTGCCAAAATACGTCAACCGAAGTGCGCAACACCAATTGAAGTAACTCCCAGCGCCAAAATGGGCTGTTTTGCCTTGAAGAACCCAACAACTTCACAAACAAACCCCAAGAGAGGTCCTTTCCCAAGGCCAAACAAATCTAACATGGTTTTTGGAAGGCTTGTCATTCTGGATTTTGCGGATGCCCTCTTTGGTCTTGAAACAAAACACAAACGCCATTTGGAGACAACCGCATCAGGAGCGTGCCGCAGGCCACCCCGACAAAGGTGATTTCACTTTCATCACTCTCAAGAAACTTCCCTGACTCTTACCCCAGTCCGAACACACCCTCAACTCCCATTTCTCCTCTTGAGGTCACTCAGATGCCCAGTGGAAATCCATGGGAAGAAAAGGCATCCCGTTTTAAAGGGGACAAAAAAGGAAAAAAGGGCGCCACTGGACAACTGGGTTCAAGAACATCACTCATCCTCATCATCTGCACAAATGACTACAGTTCCCGGACTGGAATTCACAATAAAGGACCTTGTGGGTGACCTTGTCTTACCCCCGAATCGGTGAGCTCGGTCCAAACGCAGTCTTTTTGTACTGCTTAGAGCAATTCCCACGGCTCGTTCCCGCCGCATCTTCAGGGCTGCCTATATTTCCGCTTTGAACATCAACCTGCCAAAAGGAACCTCACATTGACGTCCAAAACGGCGAAGTTCCAAGCAACCCAACGGGGGAATAGGAAACTCACAAGTGAGTCCTAATTAAAATTCCGTATTAAAATGGTCTACCCAGAACTCTGCAAAGACCTAAGAAGGCGGATAGCCGCAGCGATTTTTATGGCAAGGGGATTGTCCCTTACTAACCTTCATCTACCCGAATCGGTTTTGACCACGTGGCTCGAGTGTCCAGCCTGGAACCAGTTGGCGCCTTTGATGCACAGCACCTGGCGCCGGCCGTCGAAGTCGGCCATCTCCACCTGCCATTGGGCGAGTGCCAGTCTGCCCCTTCGTCTCTCAAAATCCGCGGGACCCTCAAAATACTGTGGATGCACGAAACCCATTTCGCACCGCTTGGAAAACAGTGGCCATAACGTTTGTTAGGTGGCGCAGGAAACCAATCATCACAATGTTGAAACCAATCATCAGAAACCAGGGCTTCTTAGGTGGTGCAGGATTTTGTCCATCCACGGTAGGTGCAGTCTCCTTGTGCATTTCCCCTTCAAGCCAGCCTTAAAAAGGTACCCTCACAAAAAAAACAAAAGGTAAGCCCTGTCATCAGTCTGTTACTGTGGGCTTCGCACCAGTTGGTGGGTGGCTTATTTCAGTATTCATGGAGTTTTGTATCCCAACTGGTGCAGGATTTGGCCGTATCTCCGCGCAACAGCCACACTTTTGGACCTGGAACGGGAAATCTAAGGGCTAACAGCGATCAGGTGTCCAAACGTGTCCAACGGGTTGACTATATTTACCAAGAGATATACACGCGACTGTACGAGTCTCCCAACGGGTTGACCAAATGGCGCTCCCCCCGAAAAGGCCCCACCCCATTCCCCCACACTGCGTTCCTTCGACTGACCGACTGACTGGGCCTCAACATCAACATTTGCGAGCTTTTCAAATGTTACTTTTGCGTCCCGGTGGGGTCACTTTAAACCCACGGAACCAAACCCCGCCCTGATAAAATAGTGAAATAAGCCAACAGGGGAAACACAACAAATTCATGTCAGCAAATGGACAATATGCATATGTCCAGTTTTCATAGATTCCCTTAAAGCCAACAGGGAAAATTACAACAAAACCATTTCAGCAAATGGAAGCATCCCATGGCCAAAACCCCGTACCCCCTGTGAACATCCCAATCCAACCACTAAAATAAAGGCTAAAATGGGTGGTGAATTCACCTACCAACCAAAATGGTTTCATTGGTTTTGACCCACAGCCATGCCTTACTCAACAAGACTTCCCGTGCACATCGCCTCACGGCCGCTACCACGAGCCTGGTGCTTCTCCGTGAGCTTCGTGGTCAGTGCCACGTGCTGCAGGTAGTCCGCCTGTGCGGCCGAGTCGACTGAGAGGAAAAACCAAAGCAAAGCGACTGGAAAAGGAAAACTGGGCTGCCCTCAGATCCCCCGCTAAAGTTTAACTTTTAGTGGGTTAAATGGAAACTACCACTAAACACTAAAAGGCTAAAAGGCTAAGTGGATGGCTGGGAGCCACCAAGAAAACAAGAGCAAACCGAATGGAAACCAAAGCAAACCGCAGGAAAAAGTTGGCCATTGTTGATTGCGCTGCTCGTTTCCTCTGGTTAAGAAAAACGGCGTCCACTTTTCGAACAACACTGAAATGAGCCTCCGCTAAGGTACGCACATGCCTTTTGTTCTGAAAGGATACCAGGGACGTTGTGGTGGACACTTGGTGGTGCTCCTCCAACTTTCCCATCCATTAGCTACGCTGACCGCACCTCATGTGCATTTCAATCAAAGCCAAGAGTTGTCTCAAGGGGTGGTGCCTCTGGCAAAAACGTTGGTTTCCTTCTGAAGCCGCTTGAAGTATTCTGGTTTTGACTCATTCCCCTTGTTCGTTGTTTCCCATGTCATATGGCTGTGGGTCAAAACCAATGGTACCATTTTGGGGTAGGTGCACCACCCATTTTAGTCTATTTGTGGGGATTGGGATGTTCACTGATATTAGGATTTGGATATTGACCCATGGCCATATCAGGGATTGGCCGCACTGCAAGCAGCCTTAAATGGACCTGGCCGCACATCCGGCCCGGTGGATGGCGCTTTCAGCTTTAAGAACAGCCGCATGGTCCAGACTAAGCCACTGTCGACGGGTCTATCCCAAAGCCCATGGAAGCCTACCAAATGAACCTAGGGAGCTTCACGCGGAGGAGGTCGAATGCGCAAATCAAGCTCTCACTTATTCAACACATCCAGAAGAGAAACTGTTGTTCTGTGGCGGTCAAACTTTCAAGACTTGCCATTTGCAGCAAGGGATCGAATCAGAATGGATAGAGGATCGAGCTAGACTGTGTTTCACCTGGTTTCTTAACATTAGGTGCCAAATCCCCAATCTGGACAATCCCCAATCCTAAAATAAGTCTCCAACGGGCCTTCATCGGGGTCGAGCTCGTTTTACCCCTGAATCGGCGGGCTCGTCAGGATCCGATTCTGGAACTTGCGTGCGTTATATTCGTTGTTGTTTTTTTGCGGAGGGATTCCCTTCTTTCCTGCTGCTTTTGTTTACCCTGCCATGGAACTTACCAAAAGTGTCGATCCCGTGTCGATCCCTGTTGCCACAGATAAGTCAATCTGGGCCAAAAGGGGATCAAAAGGGGACCTTCGGAGGGTTCCAAGTTCCAAGGTTCTCCATTTTGGTTTGCCAGTTCGGTTTTGAGGGTGTGTCTACCCAGACGCTCTTGGGGCTTCCAATGGAAGATCCACACCCTCCGTTGGACACCCCAGAAAGATTTTGGTGTCTCAAAACGAAAGGCTGTTTGAGGGCCCAAAATCCATCGGGAGCGTCTGTTTCTTTGGGGGGGTGTCTACACGGCCGCCGAGCCTCCGGCATGGGCCAGCTGAAGCAGCTCAGCACCTCGAAGGCTTCACTAGTGAGCCACTTCCTCAAAACCCGGTAATAAAATGGGGTCATTACGCAAAATTAAGGGGTCATGCTTATCCATTTTTTAAGGGTCATGAAGGCTCTGTGTATTAAAATGGGCTCCAAAAAACATATGAGCAACCATTCCAATGGTCCAAAAAACATATGAGTCATAGTCAAAACCAATCTGTACTAATTTGGTGGATCCCCAGAACCATGCTTCAATAATTTTAAGAAGGCGGAGATCCGCAGCGATGGCAAGGGGATTGGGCCCTACTAAGCTTCATCTACCCGAATCGGTTTTGAGGACGTGGCGGGCGCTAGTCCTTTTTTTGGGACCTGAGGATCAGCTTTGGGTCGAAACAGATCGGTGGTGGAGGTGTGGGGTCCCCATTTAGCCAAAAATTGAGGGGGTGGTCGAACCACGAGAGTTCCATTGTTCTAGGGGTTGATTCCTTTTCCATTCTTTTCAACCATCGTTCTTTCCAAAAACGGCCGTTTTCCCTGGGTTTCCGGCTAGAATTGTTGCAGTTGTTGGTCTCTTCTCACTCACTCGGTGTTCCCCTCAAAAAGGGTGGCAATCGGAGCCGAATCGGTGGTTGGGTGGTGAAACGAAGGGAGTTTCCCATGCAAACCCTCTACAAGAACCCGGGGCTCAAATCCGCAAACTACCAATTAGGGGGACCCTCTACAAGAACCAGGCAAGAAAAATCCCCAAACCACCAAGTAGGGGGACTCTAGAACCAGGGGCTCACACCAATCGGGGGGACCCTCTACAAGAACCCGGAAAGAAAAATCCCCAAAAGCCAAACCACCCATTTGGGGAAGTTCCTGAGAGGAGGTTTCAAAGCCCCACCAATACATCCATGCTGTGGCTCGTCCTTTTGTTGAGGCTCGGTGCTTTTACGCTACCATGGGTGACCATCTGGAAACATAGATGGTCCTGGTGAATGGACTAAAACCAATATAAACCAGTGGAACTCGTCTACTCAATAAACCGAAAAAGGGCACCTATGTACGCTACCCCCAAAACCGAAGAGACAACCCCAAGGGGTCTGGGATATAAAACAAACACTCTAGAGAAATCTGAATATCTATATGATACTTTGAAGCAAATACCCTCTAGTCGTTAGCTGGAACCCCACAACAAGGGGTGGTTTTCCTTGAAACCAACCCCAAGGGGTGGTTTTCCCAGTATAAAGAGGTCGGGTTTGTCCCTTTTTCTGAGTTGCTGGCAACCACCCAAAGTTTAGTTGTCCCGCTATTTGGAGATGCACCCAAAAGTGTCCCCCTGAAACATCACTCCAAAGGCAACGTACCAACAGCCCGAAAGGTACTCTTTGCACCTTCCATCTCCTTTTGTAGACCCTACCTCCGCTAGTCAGTTTGGACCGCTACTCGGCTCAAAAACATCCAGTGGGTGCAATCCTGTCGAATGCAAAATCCCTATCTCACTTCCTGTTTGGTCTTCGCAAAAAGTTCAAAGGCCAGACACTCGGGAAGTACAGTAAGTCTATATCAACTAATGGCCCAAGACAGAATAAAGACCACTGCCAACAAACAACTAGGAAAGGGATGAAATCAGAAAGGAGCAGCGGGCCTGTGCAGGAAAAATAGGGGCCCCGGCCATATCCAAAACGCTGGCAACGCATGAGCTAAGCGTCTTCATGGAAGCCGTCGCAAAGGAAACACAAGGTATCATACTCGAAATATTTATCGCTCTGCGCCATCGCCGCACCCAGTTCTGCAAGGTATGCAAGGTAGGGCCCTTGCAGCAAATGCCAGTGGCACCCCAAACCCAGATGGGGTTGAACTGGGTGTGTCGGAGAGAAAACTGTCAGTACATATGTGCATCCTTGTTTTGGAATGTTAAGCATGTGCCAGTTGTCTTGGATGTCTTGAGGTGCCATTTGCGCTCAAATTTTGGCACTGGGCCTAGCAGCAGTTTTTGTTGCTGTCTGTGCTTCGACCAACCGCCGGGGGCTGGAGGCCCTATTCAGATGCCGGATCCTCAGCCGTCAACTCCTTCAGACCAAAAAACATTGGAAGGGACCCGCCTGTCAGCACCACCTCCGTCAAAGGAGACTGTCTGTCAAGGGCGTGATCTGCGAAAACTTTGTCCTCGTACTCAGCGAGCAGCCTCAGCCCTGGCAACAGGAGGCTGTTGACGATTAGTGCAGTTCGCTTAGGCAACTTTTCCTCCGTCAAATAATCCAGGTGGATGTTCAGCCAAGGGAATTCGAAGCGGTCGTCCGCATGGGCAGCAATGGCAAATGTTTCTACTGCTGAACACCAGACTGCCTCACCGGCGAAGTGGTCCACGTCAGGATTTGCAACTGCAGTGTAGAGCTCCGCTACATCCTCGCCCGAGAAGGAACATGTGTTGAAGGTCACCTGGCCATCGATGGTGTCAGCTGCAAGGTGCTTCGCAGCCTTGAAGAAAGCAAGGGCCTCTGTGACATTCTGGAATTCTACTTCGCAGCTGAGAGTGACGGATGGAATCTTCTTCAAGTCGCCCAAGGAAAGAAATCTCCAGAGTCCGCAGACCTCCCATTTCCCAGGTGGATGTCGCCAAGCACCTTCACCAAGTGGGCTGCCTCGCCTGCATTCCTCCACTGCCCTCGTCAAGCTTGGCGATGCGACCTCAAGCTCCAGCACCGACACATCTGATGCCAAATCCAGCACCCGCACGAGGAGCTCTGTATTCAGCGCATTAAGGCAGGGCATGATGCTCGGGCTCTTGAACACTTGACTTGCTCCTGTTTGCAAAAACATAGCAAAACCATACGCATTCTAAGCACTGCAAACTCTTGACTTGGATGTGCTCAAGGACTGACCGGTTTCAATCTCCCCTTGAAACCGCTATCCTGTTGAGCCGAAAAATTCAAAAAGAGGCCGTCTGTGCGGTCCATGCCACACATTCCTTTGAATAAGAAAGGATAAACCGCACTGCCAACAAACGGGAGGACCAGGGAGGACGCGTTTTCCATTTTTGTAGTTGTCCACAACAAGAAAAACTGGAAGCATGAATGACATTCCAGGGGTCATCCCTCCCCCCTCCCACCTTTTCCATTCTCGCGGGTAGGGATGGGTGAGCACATTTTTCTCAGACTCGGATGACACCTATTTGAGCAACAACCAAGGTCGTAGAAAAGAAGGAAGGGTGGTGCAGCCTATGACCAATATATCTTGATTTGAATTGTCTGGGAGATTCACCTCCATTGCTTCACCGCAAACACCATGAGCTACTACATTTCCGAGAATAAAACCACATACGCCACGGTCCAAATAGTGAATCAACCCGGGGGTCGCATACTGGACCCTCCTCATTCGCTATGTCAATCAACCCTCGAGACTGACCCTTGACCCTTGCGGCATATCCACTGGATTCAAAGGAGGCTACTTCAGGGACCACGGCTGCTGCACCAATCCGAAATCCGGGATGTCGTGGCGGGAATCACTGGCTGAGCATGTTCCGCTTCATCTGCACTTCAGATGAGAACGGCTGTGGAAACAACTTGGCCAACCTCTTCTGGTTGAAGATGCTACCAATTCTTACATTTGCTTACGCCCCCTGGAAAGGATAAACATATGTCCAGTGGTGATAGGTTCCCTTTAAAACCAACAAGGGAAAAATCGAAATGTTCTTAGGCAAATGACATGGCCTCTCTCTTACAATCAAATCGGAAGCACACATGATGAGACATCTGCGACTCCTCACTTGCTCACTGTCGACTATCTCAACCTCAACGCCAGCATCCCCCATCCCTCTGCCTTCCGAACAGAGTCAATAAAGTAAGCTTCTTGCCAGCGAACCACAAGCATCGGACTGTGTGGCACTGGTCGAAAGGGACCCTGTACCCCAAATCTGGTTTCGCCACCTGGTTTTCAGCCACAAACCCAGTTTTGATCAATTCTTGCAGCCTGTTTTGCCACCGCAAAACCCGCTTTTGAGCTCCTTTTTCACCCCCAAACCTGCTTTTGACCTCCAGAAAGCAGGCTTGGGCTTAGCTACCTCCGTCATCCGATTGCAACTTGAGCTCTTGGCACCTGCACGCCGGCGTTCTGGATCTGAATATCCAGGTCCAACAGCCAGTTCACCCGGTTCTCGGGATCTTCCTCCACATTGGACCTGATGTGAAAAGCAGAATCTGCACAGCGACGGCTGTCAAAGGCTGGAGGATTTTTGAATGAACAACATGCTGGGCTATCAAAAGGCAACAAAGGTTGACACACAATACCCGAGCTGCGCTTGCTTACTGGGTTGACTATCCAGGTTCGCATGGCATAGTTTCCAGCCCTCGAAGTCACTGGACGGCGGTCAAAGGCATGCATTGCCAGGCTTCTCAAATTTGGAAGGTGCTGACTTGGATCGATCATCTGCACAACAACACCTGATTCTGCACCACTTGCAAGCAGCTCTCCTTTGAAACGAGTCAAGACACAAACCATTCACCTCGCACCCAAAACCACATGCAAAAAGACAAAACATATTTTTCCATGGAAAGCCCAAGCAGCGGAATTATCTTCCAGTCTCACGTGAGGAATTCCATGACCTTGCACTCCTTTTGCTCCAACATGGTGAACTTTGCTCACCAACATGATGACTCAACAGCATTTGCAACAAACTCAGTGACTAAACCAACATGATTCACTTGCGCCATCTACTTTAGCCCAACTGTGCCTAGAGGCTCTGCCAATGTTCGCTTCGGAATTGTGACGGATGATAACGGGAATGCTTCCGAGTGGCGTCCTCCTCCGGTGAAAAATGTAATGGATCCTCACAAACACATCGGTCACCTGGGGTTTTTAGGTCGCAAATCAAAACCCTCTGCGAGCTCGCTACCATTTTCCCAAACAATTGTTAGTTGCTCCAGCTGCCAACCAAAAGCTTCCAAGGAAGATGAACACCAAAACCGCTACCATCAACTACCAACAAACCATCAACAACTACCGAACAACTCCTTTGCAACTGCAAAAAAATCAGCAGAAACAAAGGAACCACCAAACACACCAAACAGCACCAACCATCACCAGACAAAAGGCAACTAACAGCACCAGCAGCTACAAACACCATGCTGAGCGAATCAAAGTAGTCACCAACCTGACATAAGACATGGAACCCAACGACAAGGGCCTCATGGGTTTTCAGCTCAACCCAAAGCCCTTTGCCAGGTTGTTATAATTGTCCAATAAGTCTGATAACTGCACTCCCGCCCGACATGGACTTAATCTGCGAGGATACCTACAAAGCCAATGTTTCATCAATCACAGCCGGCATGACGGAAGAATCCCCTTCCTAGTTGTGAACCCCACATTTTTCCCAATGATCCCCCACCTCTGTCCCAATCCCGGCCCGGCTTGTCTGTCCCTCTGAGCTATACCTAAATGTATAGGGTGGGGTACTCTTGACCGACATTTTGAGGACCTCATGAACATGATTCTCATCATGTAGCCTCGGTTGGTACTGGATGTTGAATGGGTCCGGAACAGACACGTCTATCCGCTTTTGGCTTTTGGGGGAATCAAACATGACTTAGTCATGGGCCAGCCCTCCAAATGGAGAAACTCCAAATACGTGCTTTTTTGGACCTGCGGTAGCAAAAGCATCAGTAAATAAGAAAGGACCGCCTCCACCACCTGCAATGGCAAAAGAACAAGCAAAGAAGAAAACACCACTTTCACCACCTGCAATGGCAAAAGAACAAGCAAAGAAGAAAGGACCGCCTCCACCACCTGCAATGGCAAAAGAACAGGCAAAGAAAAAAGGCCCGCCTGGGCTTCCCTTTACCCACTCGAAAAAGGGGTTCCCTCGAAATACACGAGCCATGTGCATCATAATATATCATAATCACAACTTGGTATTGAAATGGTCTACCCAGAGTCATGCTTCAAAAATTAACAAGGCGGCTATCCGCACCCATTTATGGCAAGGGATGGCTCACTTGCCCAAACCAGCTGTGTGTTTCCCCCAATTTCGAGCTTTACCGAGCTGAGTCCCCCGAATCACCTTCTCTTAGGCACCCTCCTTATGGCAAGGGGATTATCCCTTAACCTTCAGCTACCCGAACCGGTTTTGAGCGAGCTCATTTGCCCAAAATTGCGAGCTCTGATTTGCCCCCCCCCCCCCCTTCCCCGATTTCGAGCGTGAACAAGAGCTGAGTCGAATCGGTTTCGGTTTCGGTGTTCAGGCCGTGGCGCAAGTTCTTCCATTTACGTTTTCGCCCCCTGGAAAAAAATAAGACATATTTCCAGTATAGTCATCGATTCCCTTTGAAACCGACAGGGGACACTTTAACAAATATTCATTTCAGCAAATGGCAGGTTCTCAGCTTTCCCTGCCGGAGCGGTGACCGACTGGCTCCAAGACATCTGGGCTGTCCTCAAATCCCCCGCTAAAAATGAACAACTTTTAGTGGGTTAAAAGGAAACTACCACTAAACACTAAAAGGATCTAAAAAGCTCAGGAACCGGATGGCTGGGAGCCACCAAGACACGCCAATGGAAGACGTGGATCCGCGTTTTCCCCGCGTTTCCCCCGCGCTCCGAGCGCCCCGGCAGCAAGGCCCGCAGCACGCCGGCGCTGGCGACCCGGGTGCCCGAGCCGAAGCCCACGGCGCAAGGGCCCAGACCTGCGGGCTCCCAGTGGCCTCCGTTTCAGCCTGGCCCAGCAAAACGCACAATATGGGGTCAATGCGGAACTCAAAACGGCTGATGTCCCTCCAACCCAGCAAAAGACCAACTCTGGGGGGGTTCGCAAATAGGAGAGTGGACCCATTTGTTTTGGTGTTCCTAAGCCAGGGGAAAAGGAACGACACTTCAGCAACTGGCCAAAACAAGCTTCTTGTGCATGTCCATTTCTACCTGGCCCAGCAAAACGCGAACATGGCTTAATTCCGAGCCCCTCAAAATGAGTGTCCCCACCAATGCAAAGCACCAACTACAGGTTACCTGATCAGGAAACCAATATGCCTCAATACGGAACGGCTGATGTCCCTCCAATTGGTGGTTTGGGTTGGTGATTGTCTGGAAGGACATGAGAGAACATCTTCCCATGTTTAGGTGTCCCTAAGCCAGCAAAAAAAGGAAAAACACTCCAGCAACTGGTGGTTTGGTGGATTGGTGGTTGGTGGCTTCCCAACCCAAATCCTCTAGAACCAGGGTTCAAATCCAAACCACCAATCCAAAGCACTAACTAATGGTTACCTGACCATTTGCGGATACGTCTGGCAAGAAATGAGAGGACATCTTCCCATGTGGAGATGTCCCTTGAAATCCAGCAAGGGGAAAAGAAAGCAACTTAAGCCGATTTCGCCGCCATAAATTCGAGATGACAAGTTGGGGCAGGTGATTCAAAGGCTGAATACATACAACGCTATATGAAGCCCCTGGTCTGAACCCCTAGTGTATGGGTGAACTAAACTGCTAGCTATGGCTTCATAGGAAATCAGGTCCCAATGGCCATGGGTTCATGGACTTATACATTCCGCCGGTTCATATGTGGACTTATACATTCCGCCTAGAGATTCCTCTTGGATGGCTATCATGTTCCCTCCGATCCCCCGCGCCTGGCACATTCGAGAGCTCCTCCTGGGCGAAGGTTGGGCGCTCACAACATGAAGGTGCGCTGGTGACACATGACCCAGGTCAGCCGGCTTGCCACATGAGCCGCCGGTCGAGATAGAACCTCTAGCCCTTTATCCTGCACACAAGGCCTGTTTAATGATTTTAATGCCCTATTTGGAGGG